GAGGGAAAAGATCAAAGTTAATTCAAGTTAATAATTCTAACATTTTATTTGTCCTCAAAGTCTTTTTTTTTTAAATGGGTAAGTAAAATATTTTTCATTATGAATGTTCCTGTTAAAAGTCATGTATATGGCATGCCTAGGCAGGTTAATTTTTATTACAATTTTACAAAGCTATTTGTACTAGTGTTGAAAGGCCATTCCCAGAAGCAAATCAACTTAATAAATGTAAAGACAATGCCTGGGATTTGTGTCACCATACATGTTGAATTTGGCACATTATAATTTTCAGACAGTGAAAACATCAGGCCCATATTCACAGTATGTGGAGGTGGTGGAGGATGGGGGTTGTGTAGGGCATTCAACAGTCAAGTTCTTTTTTAGCATTTGAGGAAAAATGGGTACCTTGGAACCTCAAACCCAGTAATTCTGGCTAGCTATTTTTCCATCTACCAACAAACCAATTTAATCAACAGATAAATTTAATGCTGTTGAACATTAGCATAGCATAGCAAATCTGGACAATTTCCCATCAGATTAGTTTCAGGCCTCCTGCTTCTTTCCTCTAATAAATGAAGTTACTAAATTTGAAAGCACACTAATAATAGTTGAGACCCAAAGTTGGAGAGGGGGGAGGCAGAACATAGCATTGTCCCTATCTGTCAACTAAGAACTTTCTCCCCTTCCTTCCAAGCACTATTTAAAAGGCAACTGACCATCTGAACAAGGTAGGCCCCTATGCAGCTGGGTTTTACATTGGTTCAGGACCTAGCTGGTTTGGCTCAGACAAGCAAGATGGGAAGGCTCCTTTGCTCTACTGCCCAACTGGGGTAAGCCAGGCTCGGCACAGATCCCAACTTGATGACATGCAAGACTAAAGACAAGGGCAGGGGCTGGCCAGGTATCCCCATAGCTTCCCCACAGCTGCTTGTTGTCAACACCACACCTCTGCAGGGCAGGTACAGTGACGGGGCAAGGGGTGCACACTGGGGCTGCCTTCCAGTGTGGAGCACAGGCCACTGGCTGCATGGAGCTGGGGGATCACCCTGCATCTCCTTACCGTGACACAGACTTGCTAGTGAGGTTGCACCTGACCCTGACACAGCACAAAGGATGGGCCTGCCTCAAGCCTGCCTCAGAAACACCCTGGGCTCTGCCCCTCAGTAGCAGGTGAATTGTGGTAGTGAACAAGAGGGACAGTCTCACACAAGTACCCAGTGCCCACCCCCTCTCCCCAAGGTGGTGATTTATGTCTCTCTCGGCTGCTCCTGACACCCGAACTGACACGTGTACTCAGGACTGCTGCCCTTCCACAGCCTCCCTGTCAGATTCTGCAGGGGGAAAAAAATCTGTGGCGATCATTAATTCTGCACAAATTCTGCATTGTGCAGTAGCACTGATTTCCCCAAGGAGTAAATAAGGGTAAAGCATGTCTGTACAGGAGACAGCACTTTCCTGAGGGCTGGCTCCCACAAGAACCAAGAACCATTACAAACCTCACACCTTCTGCTCTAAGTGCAAGGAGCATTTCTTTGACCTTGCTTTCCGTAAAAATGTGTGCATGTGTTATATAACAGTAAAAGAAATAAAATAAAATAAAAAAAACCACAAAATCTTTGTTAATGACAAGTTAAGGATGCCCAGAGATAGCTTGTGCCCTTCCAAAATTTTGAGTTCAGCAAAACTCAAACTTCTGACAACCAAGAAATAGAGTAAAAATAAATGACCACACAACCTTAACTCTGCCTTGCCTGGAGCTGGCAATAGCCACTGGACATTATCTGAACGCACTTTCCCTGAATTCACTATGTTAGGTGTAGATGCAGAATGGAGGAGAAGTAAGTTGGAGCAGCTTGGAAGAGCTGTGATTGTGATATGAGGAAATCTGGGTCTGAGTCCGCCTGTGTGTGTTCTCAAAGGAAAGAGGTATATACAGACCTTGAAATTCCTTTCTGCATCATTTCAATACAGAATTGTATAGGTTGTATCAGTGTCAGGACACTGGCTTCTTCTTGTCTTGGGTATTGTCAGTAGTGAGGTGGGATATGAGATCAATTTGTGAATATAACTAATGAATCGGGGAAAGTGTATATTTAGGTGGTTTCCTATATGCAAGTGTGAAGAGGTTGTAAAAGGGTATGAAGTGGCTGTTAAATTTTACAAGTGTTAAAAAAAAAAAAAGCAGTACAAAACTCTCTACTGAATGCATCTCTCCCTCTGGAGAAAGGATGAGAGAACAAACCAATGACAGATGTTAGTCATGTTGCCTACTGCATTACTGGAAGGCACTCAGATTCTATGATGATGAGCATAATGAAAGAACCTAAGCAGAATATAATTGAGATCAAGGCAGAGTTCAGATATTTTATTTCAGGGCTCAAGTGATTCAGAATCCCTGTGCACATTCTCCACCACATGGGTTAACATAAATCCTTATCCCCCAAGTCCATCATCTCCCTAAAGTCCAGCTCAACAAGATGGCTTTGCTCTGTGGTGAGGGGAAAATTAATTATGAAAACTGACAGACATTGCATTTTCTTCCATGTATAAGAAATTAATCAATTTCAGAGAATTCCCCAAAACACAATAGTTTGCTGATCTTAAAAAAAAAAAAAAGAAAAAGAAAAGAAAAAGAAGTTATCCTTGGTATCTAAGTATATTTTACTGTTAAATTTCAATCTTTGTACAAGTGAAAGCGTATGAGAAATAATTTTATGTATTCTAATGGGGAAAATAACATGCATTCTTTTTTATAGTCCAGCAGCAAGGAGGTATTTAATAATCTTCACCAGGACTTTCATATTATTCTTCATTTGTGTGAAAAATCTTGCTGTTTAATTGCGGGCCAGTCTGCAATAGTACATGGAACCATTTCCACGCAGCCTGGTACTGAAAATAGGTCAAGTGTTAGAGTAGCCCAGACAAGACTATTTTCTACCCTCTGTTACAAAGCAGTCTCAATCACATTTTAAAAAATAGTATTGATTTTTTTTTTCTTGGTCTAGATTGGCACCATTTTAAATGTCGGTTCAGGAGAATCATTGATAAGAATAGTTTTCAGCAACAATTCAATTTCTACTTGAGTCACTGCCTGAGACGCAAAATATAGTTTGGCATTGATGTAAATTACACATATAAAATATTTTTAAATCTTTGTTTACTCTTAATTTTACAGGGAACAATACGGAAGTTCAAAGTACAAAAATAGAGACTCAAAGTGTGAAGACAACTTATGCAATTCTGTGCAGATCTAAAGATGTCACAGAAAATATAGCTCTTTTCATACCAGGACTGTACATTCCCTTTCGAACTCCAGACCACATTCACAACATGCTCCCTGTCAAATGACAAAGGCAAAATCACTATTACTGTATTGCAGGACTGATAGTTATAGATGAGATGACACTGAAGGTAATATTAAATATATAAAAAGTGTTTTTTTTTTTTAATTTATAAGGGGGGCGGTCACACTCAGAGGCTTGCTATGTGAAAGGGGTCACCAGTAAAAAGGTCTGAGAGCCACTACTCTATACCGCAGGGGAGTGGTGTGCTGTGCTCTGTAAGCCCCATATTCACCATTTGTATATTTCATATAAAGCATGCCATGGAAAGTATCATGGGAAAGGTTATGATTTGCTGAAATCCACTGTACTGTCGAAATATGTACATCATTGAAGTGTATGACATTATGAGATTGTGCTGTATGGTGTTAATGAAATATGCTGCAAATTTGGGAGTAGCCCAGAAGGCAACTCCCCAGAAACAACAAGGCACTTGACCAAATGGCTGGGTGGATGTTACACAACCATCACCAGCCACTGTGCAGCAAGTGAATGACAATTAGCAATTCAATGATCATCACCAGAGAATTACTCAACCCTGGGACTCAGCAATGCCCCCCTCCCCCCAACATGATGCTTGGACTTATGTTTGCCAGAGCACATGGACTGAACAGGAGATAGTTCCAGCCCAGGTTGTACCCCAAGGGTCACACACTAGCCCTTCCCTTGGGAGACTATTCCATCCACACCCCAAGGCACAGATTAGGCTGCTTGGAAGGTTTTCCCCGATAGCTTGAGTCCCCCCCCCCCATCCCTTCCACCCCACCCCCGTAAGAGGCAGCCACCCAGATTCCAGGGAGGGGGACCAAGCGCACTGCATGAACATGGCCCGAGAGGCAGGTGTCTCTGCCGGGGCAGGGAGGGCAAGCAGGGGGGTCACCGCACCCTGCAGCAGCCCAGGAGACGCCCCGCACCCACCATGCCCGTCCCGGTCCAGCTACCCGGGGGGGGGGGGGGGGCTGGCACTCTCAGTCTCTCTGTGCTGCGGGGGTCCAGGGGGATGTTTTTGGAGACGCCTCTGACTGAGCCCCCTGCCAGATGCAGAGAGCTGGGCAGCAGCAGCAGCCGGTGCCCCCCTGCAGACGGCCACCCCGCCAGCAGCCAGCTCTCAGCACAGCCACCTGGGAAGTGGGTTCAGTCCCCCCCTCCTCCGCCACCCTCACCCCAGGACCCCCTTTGAAATGCACTCATCTGCTGCTACTGCCTTTAGTTGGCTGAGAGGTCGAAGGGAGGCTGGGAGCTGCTCAGCTGCAGCGCTCAGCAAGCAGCCTGCCGCCCATAAGAAGCGAGAAGGAGGCGAGGGCGATGGGGGTCACTCATCCCCTGCCCCAGGAGCAGAGTTCCCACCGCTGATTGGCTGGTGCCCCCTAAACAGCCCTGCCGAGAAGAGCTGTTTTGCCCAAGCTGATCAGCACAGCAGCTCAGAGCCGGAAACAGCTGATCGGCGGCGGCTCTGCAAAAAACTGCTGATTGCCCCCCCCCGACAGCTGATGGGGCCCCACAAACACTTGACTGGTGCCGGGGGGTGCTGAGCACCCACTAATTTTTCCCCGTGGGTTTTTCAACTCGGAGCACCCACGGCGCCGGCGCCTGTGAACAGGCTCCACCTAATTTGTCTTTGGCAGCCAATCTTGTAGACGTGCTCAGAGACCACTTAGCTCTTGTCATAAATATAAAGGGAAGGGTAAACCCCTTTGAAATCCCCCCTGGCCAGGGGAAAGCTCCTCTCACCTGTAAAGGGTTAAGAAGCTAAAGGTAACCTCGCTGGCACCTGACCAAAATGACCAATGAGGAGACAAGATACTTTCAAAAGCTGGGAGGAGGGAGAGAAACAAAGGGTCTGTGTCTGTCTATATGCTGGTCTTTGTCAGGGATAGACCAGGAATGGAGTCTTAGAACTTTTAGTAAGTAATCTAGCTAGGTATGTGTTAGATTATGATTTCTTTAAATGGCTGAGAAAAGAATTGTGCTGAATAGAATAACTATTTCTGTCTGTGTATCTTTTTTGTAACTTAAGGTTTTGCCTAGAGGGGTTCTCTATGTTTTTGAATCTAATTACCCTGTAAGATATCTACCATCCTGATTTTATAGGGGGGATTTCTTCATTTCTATTTACTTCTATTTTTATTAAAAGTCTTCTTGTAAGAAACTGAATGCTTTTTCATTGTTCTCAGATCCAAGGGTTTGGGTCTGTGGTCACCTATGCAAATTGGTGAGGCTTTTTATCCAACATTTCCCAGGAGAGGGGGGGTGCAAGTGTTGGGAGGATTGTTCATTGTTCTTAAGATCCAAGGGTCTGGGTCTGTAGTCACCTAGGCAAATTGGTGAGGCTTTTTACCAAACCTTGTCCAGGAAGTGGGGTGCAAGGTTTTGGGAAGTATTTTGGGGGGAAAGAGGCCTCCAAACAGCTCTTCCCCAGTAACCAGTATTAGTTTGGTGGTGGTAGCGGCCAGTCCAAGGACAACGGGTGGAATACTTTGTACCTTGGGGAAGTTTTGACCTAAGCTGGTAAAGATAAACTTAAGAGGTTTTTCATGCAGGTCCCCACATCTGTACCCTAGAGTTCAGAGTGGGGGAGGAACCTTGACAGCTCTACACAAAACAGAACAGTGGACAAGAGGAGAAGGTCACTCTCCCTTATAACATTCAGTTTTCGGTTAAGACAGGCTCACCTAAAATGTAAGACACCCACAGTTCAAGTTCTCCCTCTGCCTGATGAATAGAAGGGATTTGAACAACAATCTGGGTCCTTTCTCAGGTGAATGCTTTACCATTGGTCTATAGAGTGATGCTCTTGCCAAATTAACACTTAATTATTTTTGAGGGAGACCCACATCCAAATATCCTATTGCCTATTTGGATCTGGATTAAAAGTACTTTAATAATTTGAGATCGAAGGGGGAAGCTATTAATAATTTATTATTATTTTATTAGTTTCAGCTTGATTAGGTTTACTTTCTTGTTGTTATTCAGTAGCTAGATGCTGCAGTGTTGGGATAAACACCACTATGTCAGTTATGCTCAGGGCATATTTTCAAGCTTTTCTTTGCACCCATGAGGTCTAGAAATACAATATTATAATAATAATAATATAATATTATAATATAAAATCTGAGACACCAGGCACATTAATATGAGTGGACCTTTAGGCATTATAGACTGTGATATGACTTAATCTAGATCAGGTTTTGTACTTTTTGGTTTGTTTTTGTTTTGCGTTTTTTTTTTTCTCATGTGTTATCTATGTTTGGGCTTAAAATTAGTACGTAGGACACATTGCACACTATGGGTGGGAATTTTCAAAACTTGCTGAGCTCTAATTAACATCCAGCTTACAAAACATATTTTATAGTATATCCTTTTGAAAATATAGCATTTATGTTTCATATATATTGTTTTAATTCCCAGATCAATTTCCTCATTATTGCTATTACTCTTCACTGAAGCATCATTACCTCTTATATATATGTTATAAAATGGTGACACCTTAGCTAACTTCAGCTAACTAAGTGACAAATTAAAAGAGCAAAATGCACACTATTTTATACCATTTTATACAAAGTTAAAGTAGATTTTTGTAATCAGCACTATGTAATCATTTGCACTGATTTTATTAAGGTTATTTTATGTCATTTTCAGTTCCTGATTTTATAACAAGCAGTTTACAGACTGTGGCATGAAGTCATAGTGTTGTTAAGGGAAATTAAACTGAATGGAATGCTAAATTCTGGACTCAGGAATAGTATCTCTATCACCTTGGTTGCAGGTAAGTAACACAAACTCAGTGTTAAGGTGTAAAACCAAAAAGGGATTTATTGGACAACAAGGCAAACAAATTTAGGAGACAAGGCAAATTCAACAGTATAACAGGAAAAGAGTGAAATAGCGCCATTGTTCTCATAGGCAATGATGCCATGGTTCCACTATAAACCCTTAATCACTATGGACTTACTGACAGAACTTTACTTGTAGGCAGGTGATTTCTGGTGCATGGATGGAGATGAACAGAAAGCTGGACATGTCTCAGATCTGCCACAGCTACCAGTCAAACCCGGACCTTCAACTGCACTCTGATGGGACACAGGAGGAACATGGATCTGGCTACAGGAGATGGTCTTTCAGGTAAGTAACAGCGATGGATCTTGACTCATGATACACGCACAAATAAACAGGACACAAGCTGCTTCTCAGATGCACAGCACTCTGTGTTGGGTTCACGGGCTATTTATGCAGTCTAATCGTGTGTCCTTTCCCCACCCTTTCTTCCTGCTGTTTAGAGAAAAAGCCACCAATGCTCTAACAAGAAGGACACTCAAAATGGAGTCCACACAACAACTTGTATGAATCCAAGGTGGCGATTCAACAAAATGGCGGACATAAACAAATAAACATTCCAATAGGGTTAAGTTTCATTACAGCTTTCCTACTTCATTAGTCTTTCTACATGTTATTCCTGCTGACAGAAGTTCACAGCTAGTGGATGAAAGGAGATTGACTTCTTGCAAATTTCAGACAGAGTAAGGCTCAATTTTTTTTCTCATGGGAAAAAAGTTATATTATTCGTGAATAGGACCCTACCAAATTCATGGTCCATTGTGGTTAATTTCACAGTCAGAGGGTTTTAAAATTGGTAAATTTCACTATTTCAGATGTGTATATCTGAAATTTCAGGGTGTTGTAGCCATGGGGTCCTGACCAAAATGGGACCAGGAGGTAGGAGGGGAATTGCAAAGATGCTGTAGGGAGGTCCCAAGAGTGCAACCCTTACTTCTGTGCTATCTTCAGAGCTGGGCTCTGAAGGCAGCACCTGCTGGATTCCTGCAGTTAGAGGAGGTTCCCAGAGATGAAAGTGGGTAGGATCTCCCCCATCCTGCTGGGAGCACCCCAGCCAGGGGCTCCTAGCTGCTAGTCCTCTCTAGAGACAGATTTAGACAGGGGCACCCGGCCAATTTGGGAGGCCGCGAGGCCTGGAAGAAACTCCAGGGCGGAAACCCCTATCAGGTAACCCCAAGCCTTGGCAGGAGCCGCAGGGGAAGAAGCCTCAAGCCTGGGAAGCCTTGAGCCCGGACTGCCCTGACCCGCGTCTGGCTCGCAGGTGGCGGAAGCCCCACGCCTGGGCTGCACTGAGCCCCGGCTGGAGCAGTTGGGGGGGATGTGGTAACTCCAAGCCTGGACTGCACCCATCCCAGCTGTAGTGCCAGGAGCGGAAGCCCCCAAGGGAGGAAGCACAGGGCTCGGTGCCAGAGCTGCAGCAGGATCCGTGAGGGCAGGGCACAGAAGCCCTGAGCCTGGGCTGCCCCAGCTGCAACAGCCAGGAGCGAAAGCCCCCTCAGCCCAGCAGAAACCTCTGTGGGAGGAAGCTACAAGCTCTGTGCCTGGACCTGGAGCTGAGGCAGGAGCCACAAAGGTGGCCAGGGGTGGTGGTGGGGGAACAGAAGCCTGGAGCCCAGTTCTTGGGCTGCTGCAAGGCAGAAGTGAGGGTGTACCACCCTCATTTCTGCTCTGTCTCTGGAGGTGGATCCAATCCCACCAAGGGCAGCCATCCAGGGGAACGACAACTCCTGCCCCTCCCCAGCGTGGCTGGACTAGCAGCTAGGAGCCCCAGGCTCCCAGCATTAGGGGAGATCAGATTTCATTGGGAAGGGTTGATTTCATGGTCCCCGACATGTTTTTCACAGCCATGAAATTGGCAGGGCCCTATTCATGAAGCAAAATGGCTGATTTCATGAGATGTTAAATTACACACACACACACACACATTTTAATTTAAGTAAATACTTCCTAGTAATGTTTTATTAGATACCTGAAAAAAAAAATCCATTCACTTTTTAGTACTAAGATCTAAATGCCAAATCAGAAAGAAACCTGGCCCCAATTCTACCAAAATCCATGATGAAAAATAAAACACTCTTAAATCTAAGTGACAAAAAATAATCAGTAGCATTGTACATTTTTTGTATTGCACTAAGTAAAAATAATGATTTAACTAGTTTAAAAGGTTATTTATGTCTGGGAGTTACTTCAGTTTTGTGTTGTCTTTTTTATTTTTTAAAACCAAACAAATCACAGCAATAATAGCTAATTTGTACCTGGAATGTAGTTAATACAAAATAATTTTCTAGTTTAAATTTCTGTCTCTCAGTTCTTTAATCTGAATGGTCCTCAGACATAGTGATACCCTGAAAAATAGATGATTATCTGAGAGGACATAATTACTTCAAGTGGTCAAAATAATGAGTAACCTAGCTAGTTAGGTCAGCTGGTTCAAAATATTATTTCAAAAGCTGTAATTACTAAAGACAAAAGAGATAACTAGAGACCTGTACATTCCAATTCAACTGATCCAAAAAAATAATTGCTCATATAGAGAGTCATATCTGGGAATGATATTTAAAAACAGCCAGTCATTCAGGCACAAATATGTAGTCCCATTCATTTTAGATGATATATGTCATTATGGAAGTGGAAGTTGTTATTGTGAACCTCAACAAGTTTCATATTTTGGCAGAAAGCCTAATTTTAACCGTCGAAACTACTGAAATAGAGGAAATTGTTTGCATTGATACTTAGGCAACACAACAAACTATAAAACTAACCAAACAAAACCCAACCTAATGTTACTTCCTATCATTTGATTCACAGTAAAGTGCCAGCCTAAACTGTTACATTTGTTTTCATGTCCCTATTTTATATCTTTTGAAATATCATTGGAGATCATGGAAGAAAAACTCACTGCACAATGAAATCATTATGTTCTGGAGTGCTGATTGTAACTTATTTTGGGTGAATCAAGTTGAAGAACGAACAGTGTTATTTGTGGAAGAACCCAAAACTTGTTTTTTTTAGTTGATTGAAAGTACATTACATTGTAGATTTATTTATTTATAATCTGTCAGATTAATTAGTGAAGGTAGATTTGATTTTGGGAGTTTCTGGAAAGTTGTCTCAGCTTTTAGCCTTCTAAAATATTAGAGGTTTACATTAATGATGATGCAGAAGACCATTTAGGAAGAGAACTGAAGAAAATAACTTTTTTGATTTTGACTTCCCGTTTAATCTCTGCAAGTGATGAATAAGTATTCATCATCAGGCACATTGGGGGAAAAACAAATACAGAACTGTACATATGCACTCCCACTTTTAACTTCAAAATATTGCCAGATAAATACTTGTAGCCATCACCCCCTCCAACAACTCACATTTCCTCCTTGTCTCTTTTTTTCTTCTCTCCTGGTATGTGTGTGTCCATCTTAGCCTTCTGCTACACAATTCACTGTGAGAGGACACCTTTTCTGTGTCCTTTTGACCAAGAATATGACAAAGTAATTAGGCTATGGACGCTTTTTTTGCCTTCGCTATCTCGCCTTCAAAATAGAAGAACTCTGTTGTCCTACACCTATCATCATGCACTATGATCCGGTCCTATGGCTGATCTGCCATGGTTATACCTACCCAGAACAAGGTTATGCAGTATCTGTAGTTGGAGCCCTTGTAGTTATTTGTCAACAGCCTCCATCCTGAGCAAGTGACAGGTTGTTACTCACTGCCATCTCTCCCCTTTCTTCCATGATCAGGCAGTTTCTTCTCATGACTTCTTTATAAGAAGTCTTTCATGATATATGATAGTTTGAGGAGTTATCTGTCTTGCATTCTATTATGTTGGGCATTGGAATATAAAATACCTCTGTGTTTCAATCTGTCATCTCATACAATATCTCCCACTTCCCACATATGTTTGCAGAATATGCACATAAGGTTTTTTGTTACCACAGAGTAGTAGTGGCCAGAATGTATACATATAAAAAACAATTAGCCATGCAAACCTTTCATACGTGAGCCAAGTTTTCTGGAATATTTAGCTGTGACACTCTCACGACCTTTCCCAGACCTGAAGAAGAGTTCTGTGTGGCTTGAAAGCTTGTCTCTTACATTAACAGAAACTGATCCAATAAAAGATATTACCTCAACTACCTTGTCTTTCTAAGTCTTTTAGAAACAAGTTCTGTTGCACCAGTAACTTGTTGTAGTGTCACACAATGGGGAAGCTGTCTAAATTACTTGAGAAGTAGAATAGTCAAAAAAGGTGAGGGTTGGAAGTTAGGAACACGTGAATTCTAATCATGGCTCTGACACCTACATTTTGGGGAAGTTACTTCAACCCTTACTCCTGTTTTCCCTGCTGAAAAATATGGATAATAGTACTGACTTGTGTCCCTCAAAGAGATGTTATGAGGGATAATAACTAATGTGAAGTGCAAAGCAGCATGAATACTTTGTCTTATTATTTAAAAATCAGATGCAGCATTCAAATTAGGTTTATGGTAAGGCTGGTGGAATAGCATTTGAACACAGTATTTGCTTAATATCACTGGCATTCATCAAGGCCTAGATTGCGACCCAGATTATGACTCCACAAGAATTTAAGGGGAGCAAAAATCTCTCTTTACATTTCTGTATGGACTATTTGGTTGCTGGAACCAGCAGCATAAGAGCAAGAGGGGTTTTTGTGCTCATTTTCTCCTTCCCCAGAGCAGATAGCAATGGGAAGAGTTTTGGAGGAGTTTTACTTGTATTGCATTCATATCTTTGTTACTACTTTTTTTAAAATGTATTACCAAGAACGCATTTTCAAGACCACAATAGTGGTAATTATTTGAACCACCATAAATATTAAGTTTAAAATACGAACCGCAGTGTAGCTTTGCTCTGCCTTTATAGTTTAATTACATTATTTAAAAAATGGTAGAAAAGACACAAATATTTCCATTTATTACCACAGGAAATTTAGGAGTGAAATAGAGCATAATCCAATTAAAATAACGTTCTATGAGTCCATACCAGTCTTTTTCAGCCACTACCCAATACTTGTTATTACTAGCATGGACAGTGTTTACTTTACCAGCATCCCACTGTCTCAGCCATACTGTGCAATATGGAGGCTATTCCCCCCCGGAGTGAACTCAGATGACAAGCAATTCTGTCTGTAAGACATTACACCTACACATATGTGTCCTCTATGCACACAGCAGTACAAGTATGTGGTTTTGCAAAAGTATTTGAAGAGGGAATTACAAATGAGAGCACCAGACAATTTGTTCAATGAATGCTTTCAATTAATGCTT